AACGATATTTTCGACAGGTTTTATATAAGAGACCTGCTCCAAGGATGCACGAATCGCGTCAGAGATTGTCTCTCGTGATTATGCGATTATATTTCGTCGATATTCTTGCTTGCAGTGAAAATGAACCTGTGTCAGGAGTGTACTGATAAAAATACGACAAAGTCAATCGACGAAGTTTGGAGTAGAATCAAATTCAGTGAAAATTGTTTTATTTTTATTTATTATACAAAGAAATAAAAGTATTAACCGTGACAGAGATTGTCTCTCGTGATTATGCGATTATGTTTCGTCGATATTTTTGCTTGCAGTGAAAATGAACCTGTGTCAGGAGTGTAGTGATAAAAATACGACGAAGTCAATCGATGAATTTTGGAGTAGAATCAAATTCAGCGAAGATTGTTTTATTTTTATTTATTACATGAAAAGTGAGAGGCAGGTGACATAATTTTTACAGAAGCTGCAACGAAGAATTGAATTTGTCGTATATTCAGCCTCGTAATAATTCAACAAAAGAAGAAACAGAATTTTAATTTGATTCCACGATAAGGGTACAATGTATAATTCCATTATTGGGAGTAAAGCAACCATAAATTCAACAAAAGTCTAATATTTCTTAACGCCTCTTTCCATCACAGAATAAAAATTCTATCGAAATATTAATATATTAGTTATTAAAAAGTTTAAATAATTTTTTTCTGAATTATTATATATTCTAGCTCCATTTTGAAACATTTTTAACAGCCACTAACCGCACGAGCATGACTGTACTGTAAACTTCATCGATAAAGATCTGGTTGAATCCAGCTGCTGGTGTAATCTTCCGCAATTACGAAACGTTGTTTAACCTGTAATCCCATGTAATACGAGGAAATGGAGATCCTTTAAATTTACCGTCATTCTACTTCGAATTCTACGAAAATGGAACCGCGTCGTTTATTTCTATGAACAAATTAATTAACCCAGCATTCCTAGTTCTGTTAAAAATTAACAATTTTATACAATAAAATAAAACCATCGAAGAAGAGCTAAGAAAAATCGAATACTTTCCGTCAAATCACGTTCGACATTGGCATAAAAAATAAAATTAAAAGAAAGAAAAAAAAGAAATAAAAGTAGAAGATAAATATGCAATAGGTTCCTCATGGAACACCCTCAGAGTCTCCCCTGTACCACGAAAAAAAGAAAAAACGAAAGACGAAGGAGAAAGAGGTTCGAGTGTTGGCCAAAAATCACGCACTGATCACCCTGGCCGAAAATAATCGGTCCAACCAGGTTCAGTCGGAGCTTACACGAATTTAGAGCTACCCACTAACTTAGCAGCCACCTCGAAGCTTTCCCTGACCTATTCTCCCTACCCTGATCCTGCCTCCGCATTGAACCGGACCTCGTCCACGGAGATTTCGCCGAATCCAGCGACCGACGTAACTCGCCGCAATTACAGGGCGCTGTTTAATCCGTGATCCCGTCTAATTCGCCGGTATACCGGTCTTTGTCGAATTTATCGCCATGCACGCGTTCCCAGAAAATCTTCCCAACCTTTGACGGTCGACCGTGCATCGAGTCTTCGCGGTTTTCGTAGTTTAATTAAATTTAATGTTAGGGGATTACGGTGATAGCGCGTTCAGCTTATTGCGAATGTTTATGCGATAGAGGGAAGGAAGATCTTGGCTTTGGATCTTCTTTGATTTTTGATTTGGTTTCGTGATGAATTTTGAAATGAAAGAAGAGAATCTTGGGAGAAGGATTCAGGTAGGAACAGGTTAATAGCATTTTAACTGATTTTAATTAGGTAAGGATTGTTAAATGGTGAATTTTTTATGACGATTGTTAAAAAGTGCAAGAAGGTAGATAGTGGAAGATTTAGAGACTTAGACCTGACTGAGAGAAGGGAAACATGGGAAGTGTATTCAGATAGGAAGAGGTTAATAGAATAATGATAAATAAAAATATTTTGGCAGAAAAGAAAAAGCAACGGATACTAAAGTGTGATCGTCCAAGATTTAGACACTTAGACCTAATTTAGAGAAAGGAATCTTAAGAAGAGAATTCAAATAAGAGCAGGTTGAAAGCGTTTCAACTAATTTTGAATTATTTATATAATAATTGTTAACAAGTGCAAAAGGATAGAATAATGATAAATATTTTAGCAGAGAAGAAAAAGCCATCTTTAATGCAAAAGATACTATTCAGATCTTCTATTAAAAGAAATTAAAGATTGAAGGCTCTTGCAACAAAGATCATCGCTATTACAACTATCAAACCATATAAACTAAGTACTACCAGATCACCTTAATTTTGGAATTATTAAAAACAACAATCCTCGACAAAAATTAATGCCTAATTCCATAATAACACAAACATAATTATATATACCTAACTATTTCCATCCCAATGCAGCAATTATCACAAACCATCATCAATTCTCGAACAAGTACCGATTATAGACAACCCTAACTACCAGACACATCACAAAATCCTAAAATCCATTTCTCTAAAACCAACACACCAATGTCACCCTAGAGAACGCAATAGCGAATCGATTAACATCATCATCCACCCACTATCGCCGTCAAAAGACACATTCCCCCCTAAATCTAGAACCAGAGTTCAGAACGTAGTCAAACCAAAGGCCACAGGCATTAAAAACTCTCGGATTTCAAAAACCTCGACAACTAGTGCCGCGACGATGACTCCCGGTGACAAAGAAGCGACTCGTATACGTTTGGGGGTTGTTGCGAATTTTTCCGCGCGCAATTGCGGCGCGAGGAAGCGCGGGATGACAGCAGAGGGGGTGGGACCGGTGCCCAAAAGAAATTTAATTAGCGTCGACGCGCGTTCGCCGAAGTTTACGACACCGGCAGTGTTCCAGGAGTGTAGTCGTGTCACGCTGCCGGCTAACAGATGCAACTTCGCTGCGTTACTCGTGAATGCATCAGTCGGATGAGGGGCCAACGGGATCGTCTTTTTAGCGGCAGGTTAATTCGACACGTGAAATTCAGTGACAGGGAACTTTCGCTTGCCTCGTTCGGGCT